CTCTTCCACTCTCCTCTCGGGATCTTGTATGCACGCATGCACACGCACCTGGCATGAGTTTAAGTCATCAGGTTCAGGACTCGAACTGCAGTCAACTACATGAGAGTTCAGTGACATAGCCATTATGCTAACTGCTGGTCCCAGTACAAACATCTTACAGGATATTACATCACTTAAAAAAAAAATAGAGTAGATTTACATAAACGTGGAAGGAAATGTCTTTAGACATAATGCCAAATGGAAAAAAAAAATTGAATATGTTATCCTCCCCAAATCAGATGGGCAAAGAAGGCCTGATGGACATATATCTAACTAAATAAAATCTGACTTCCGGGGACGGGAGTGAGATTGGGGTAAGGTGTTATCAAGGGGGACTTTTATATTTTTATTTTTAAAGAATTATTTATTTAATTTTATTTATTATTGTTATTCTTCAATTTGACCAGAGAGAGAGAAAGTTGTCAGGTCTGGGACTTGAACCATGTGGGAGTCCAGTGATGTTACTTACCATTACATCATCCATGGTCCCATCAAGGGGAACTTTTTTTTTTATGTTTTTTTTTTTTTTCTTTTTTGAGAGGCTTTTGCTATAAGGCGCATGTGCTCGCCAGAAAGACAGAGACAGAGAGACAGAAAGCGAGAAATCACCCCCCAAGGGGGATGGCCACGCCGCAATCTCTTTTCCTCTATTCTCCTCTTGATATCTTGGGCATGCACGCACATGTGCCCATTGTGAGTTTAAGCCACTGAGTCCAGGACTTGAACTGTAGTCGACTATATGAGAGTCCAGCGACATACCCTTTACGCCAACTACTGGTCTCGGGAACTTTTAATTTATCTCTCTGGTGTAAAAATTTTCACAATGAGATTGTTTTACAATGAGACTGTATTATGTTAACTGCATATTTATTTATTTTATTTTTAAAGAGATTTTTGCTATAGGGTGTGTGTGCTTACCAGAGAGACAGTGAGAAATAGAGAGACAAAAAGGGGAGAAATCACTCCCAGTGGGAATGGCCACATCACAGTCCCTTCTCCTCCATTCTCTTCTTGCAGTTTTGGGCACACATGCACAACGCACCTGGTATGAGTTGAAGCCACCAGGTCCAGGTCTCAAACCATGGTCGACTACATGGGATTCCAGTGACATAGCTACTATGTCATCTGCTGATCCCGTTAACTGCATAAAGTTTTATAAAGGGAGCTGGCAGGTGACGTGGTGGTTAAGGGCACTAGACACTCACATGGCTGATCACAGTTCAAGTCTTTGACCTGACGACTTGCTTTCTCACTCCCCCACAACTCTGTCCCTCTCTGGTCAAATTAAAATAAATAAATAGATAAATAAATACATAAAGTTAAATAAAATAATTCTTTTATAAAATTTATTTTAAAGAAAAAAAAAAATACCCAAGTGTAGCATTGTAGAGCAGCTGGTTGCATACCAGACCACAGAGCTGGATGTCACATGCTGACCACAGTTTGAGTCCCTGGTCTGATTGGCCTGAAAGTATGACAGGCTTGGAGGTGCCCAGAATCCTGACAGGTTGGAGGATTGGAGGAACGGAACCAAAGCATGACCAGGCCCTGTGGAGGGTACTTTGCTCTCTCGTGAGTACATGTGCTCTATTATGAATAATAATAAAACAAATGAACAAATAACCAAATGAAATATGCAAATCTCAATTCAGGAATCTGTTTTATTTTATTTTATTTAAAGTTATAAAAGTTTCCTAAAGAATAAGTGAGCAAGTCTGAACATGTACTACGTATTATTGTATTCTTTTTTTTTCTAGGATTTTGCCATAAGGTGCATGTGCTCACTGGAGAGAGGGAGAGAGAAATCACACCCTGCTTCTCTGTTCTCCTAAGATCTCAGGTGCATGTGAGTGCACACACATGCATGCACACACGCGCACCCAGCATAATCTTCAAGCTGCCAGGTCCACAATTTGAACCATTGCTAACCATGTGGGAATCCAGCACCTTAACCACCATGCAACCAGTTGGCCCCAGGATATTCCTTTTTTTAAAAAAAGAGAGATTTTTGCTATAAAGTGCGTGTACTTGCTGGAGAGAAAGAGACAGAGAGACAGAAAATGAGAAATCACCCCCCAGGGGGATGGCCACACTGCAATCCCTTCTCCTCCATCTCCTCTGGGATTCTGGGCATGAACACACATATGCCGGCATGCCTTTCCAGCCAGAGGGTCTGGGACTTGAACTGTGGTCAGCCATGTGGGAGTCCACCAAGTGTAGCATTGTAGAGCAGCTGGTTGCATACCAGACCACAGAGCTGGATGTCACATGCTGACCACAGTTTGAGTCCCTGGTCTGATTGGCCTGAAAGTATGACAGGCTTGGAGGTGCCCAGAATCCTGACAGGTTGGAGGATTGGAGGAACGGAACCAAAGCATGACCAGGCCCTGTGGAGGGTACTTTGCTCTCTCGTGAGTACATGTGCTCTATTATGAATAATAATAAAACAAATGAACAAATAACCAAATGAAATATGCAAATCTCAATTCAGGAATCTGTTTTATTTTATTTTATTTAAAGTTATAAAAGTTTCCTAAAGAATAAGTGAGCAAGTCTGAACATGTACTACGTATTATTGTATTCTTTTTTTTTCTAGGATTTTGCCATAAGGTGCATGTGCTCACTGGAGAGAGGGAGAGAGAAATCACACCCTGCTTCTCTGTTCTCCTAAGATCTCAGGTGCATGTGAGTGCACACACATGCATGCACACACGCGCACCCAGCATAATCTTCAAGCTGCCAGGTCCACAATTTGAACCATTGCTAACCATGTGGGAATCCAGCACCTTAACCACCATGCAACCAGTTGGCCCCAGGATATTCCTTTTTTTAAAAAAAGAGAGATTTTTGCTATAAAGTGCGTGTACTTGCTGGAGAGAAAGAGACAGAGAGACAGAAAATGAGAAATCACCCCCCAGGGGGATGGCCACACTGCAATCCCTTCTCCTCCATCTCCTCTGGGATTCTGGGCATGAACACACATATGCCGGCATGCCTTTCCAGCCAGAGGGTCTGGGACTTGAACTGTGGTCAGCCATGTGGGAGTCCAGTGACGTAATCACTACACCATCTGCTGGTCCTGTCCTTTTTTAGGGGTTCCTTGCTGAAGGATTTAGAAATGAAGTGTCAACAAAGTTTGTGACTTTTAAAAATAAAAGGAGGAAAGGAAGAAAGAGAGGGATGGAAAGAGGGAAGTAGGAAGGAAAGCAGGAAAAAGGAGAGTGAGTGTGAGAGGAGAGAAGGGAAAGAAAAAAATAACTGTTGATGCAAAATGATAAAACAAGAATGTTAACCTTTCGTGAATCTAGGTGAAAGGTGTATGGATATTCGATGTACTACTCTTCAAACTTTCCAAAGGTTTGAAAATAAAAGAAAAAAGAAAAGAACAGCCACCCTCACCTAGCTGCAAGAGATGAGCACGCCCCGTACATGGGTAACCCTTAGCAACGCCACTCGTATTACTAGCGACCACTCTGAGAATGTGTTTTACTTTCTATGACCTCCTGAAAGGGAGAGACATCATTTACTAGGTTATCAGGAAAGTCATGGTGTGTTTTTCTGTTTTTCCATGTGTCATGACTCCTGATGGCCCAATATTTCTTTGCCCCACTCTTCAAAGCTCCAAGCTCCCAGCACAGAGCAGGCAGGGGCAGGTCTGAGCAGGAAAGGAGGTGCGTAGGCCAGGAAGTATGAAGTGTTGACCTACGAAGCTGCTAATGCAAAGTCAGGGCCTGCAGCCACAGCACCGATTCTGAGAGGTACAACAGGTGTGTCTCCTGGCTGCCCAGGCTGGTCCCAGCAGTCACCCTGGGCTAGAGCCATGCCTTTCTAGCAGGGCCACTGAACAGGACTAGCGTCTAAGAGTGCTGCTAGAAAGTGCCAGAGTGGGGCCAGTTGGTGGCATGGTGGTTAGGATGGCTTGGGTGCCACATGGCTGACTGTGCAGTCTGAGTCCCGGACCCAGTGGCTGGATAAAACTTGCCAGGCACACGTGCTTGCATGCCCAAAGCCCGAGAAGAGGATGAAGGAAAATGACTGTGATGGAGCCATCCCCCCTGGAGGGGCGTTCTCACTCGACTCTCTCTCTCCAGTGAATGCATGCACCCTACAGCAAATTTTTTTTTTTAATTAAAAATTTAAGAAAGGGTGCTTGAGTGTCTTTGAGACTGATGCTTTGTACACTATCAGGTGGCAGAAAAACAAAGTGTTCTCATAACCTTTTGTCTTTTAGTCTTTACAAAGACGCTAATAGACAGCTATTATCTCCACGTGACAGATGGGGAAACAGGCTCCATGAAGTGAAATGATTTCTCCAAGGTCACACAGAGAGGAAATGGGCTCAGTCCCATTCAAGTCTCAAGTTCCTTCCAGCAGACCATGCGACCTTCTCTCTGGGGTTTCACTCCTAGCCAAATAGCAGAAAGACACACTTACCTGACCCAGTCTTGGTCTGGGCTACATCTCCCCACACTGTGAGATCACCACAGGTAGCTTGGGCTTATTGTTGGGGCCTGTGGGAACATTCTAGGAAAGAAAGCACAATGGAGACTCGTTTGCTCAGGCGCTTGCACACTCTCCAATCAAATCTTTACCAGTGCCCGGCCAGCCCCAGGGCTAAGGACCCAGGACTGGCAGAATGGTGTAATAGCCCATGTTCTAGTGGACATGAAAATAATACAGATCAAAAAGAAAACGTAGGACCAGCAGATGCGTAATGCTTATATCACTGGACTCCCATGTAGCTGACAGGGTTTGAGTCCCGGACCCAGTGGCTTAAAACCTCATGCCAGATGCATGTGCTTGTACAGCCAAGATCCCGAGAGGAGAATGGAGAAGGGATTGCAGAGTGGTGATTTCTCGCTTTCTGTCTCTCTGTCTGTCTCTCTAGTGAGCATATGTAGCCTATAGCAAAAATCTCTCTCTCTCAAAAAAAAAAAAAAAAGTAGGGGCCGGCAGATGGCAAGATGGCATGGTGATTGGGTGCTGGACTCCCACATGGCTGACCATGGTTCAAGTCCTGAACCTGGTGGCTTGCTTTGTCACTTTCCCTCTATCTCTCTCTGGTCAAATTAAAAAATAATAATAAATAAAACTGAACAAATAATTCTTACAAAAAAAAAAAAAAAAGAAAGAAAACATAATATACTCAGCACACAGCAAGCACACAGCATACGTAACAATGAAATAAATTGTTGAGAAAGTCTAAAGAGTAGATGAAACAACTAAATTGGAAGGGAAGGTTCAGAAGACGGTGTTTGAGCTGGGCCTGGAAGGATATATAGGATCCCTGTTCCACCAGCAGGAAAAGAAAGAAGAGTATTCCAGGCAGGGAAGACAGCATGAATAAAGGATGCAGAGCAAGAAAGAGCAAGAGGCAGGGACATGGATGGTAGATGCAGGAAGAGCTAGTGGCCTGACATGACTGGAGCATGGAGGAGGCAGTGTCAGGAGAGGGCTGTGGGGAGGGAGACGGGGACAGATCTTGAATGCAACACTGAGGAGGATGTTACCTTGCCGGCGATGGGGTCAGCAGAGGCCAAACCGTGGTGTAGGTGCAGGAGGTTCAAGGAAAACTTAGGAGGCAGGGGATCTCTCCTCCCTTTTCCTAAGGGAGTCCATTTAACCGGAGGCAATGAACACTGACTGGGCCTAACAAACTGGAGCCCACTGCCTTTCTGCAGTCCCTCAACACTACTCATAGGACAAACAGGAAAGAGGAAATCAAAGCAGGACTCACCTCAATCTTTCTCATCACCAAAAGTCCGTCAATAATTTTTCCTGTAGGAAGAGTATGAGCTGGGCTTACTTTTTCTTGTTAGCATAGCATTTTCTAGCTTCCAACACTCATTCTGAGCTATACCTCGTCAGAACCTCTTACTTGGGGGCCAGCAGATGGCATGATGATTAAGGATGCTGGACTCCCACATGGCTGGCCGCAGTTTGAGTCCTGGACCTAGGGGTTTGCTTTCTTACTTTCTCTCTCTGTCCCTCTCTGGTCAAGTTAAAAATAAATAAACAAAAAAATAGATAGAGATAAATCATTCTTTAAAGAAAAAAAAGAACCTCTTACTAACTTTAGGAAATCGAGATTGAGTGCACATGAAATGACTGGACTGAAGTCACAGGTAATAAGCGGAGCTAGGGCTCCAATGTAGGTCTGAGCAATTTCCAAGGCCCTCTGTAACCTGCTGCCTCAGTGGTATTTCTTCAGTGCCAGCCTCTGGGCTGTCCCCGGAGAACACAAGTTACCCAAGCAGTTACATACTACATCACATGGCTTCTTTGTCCTTCTCTCTGGATCTCCACCACACACCGTCCCCCCTTCCCACCAATTTTGCTGCCCTACAAATACCTAGAGCAGTTACAGCAGCTGAGCACTCTTGGTGAGAGCTCAGGAACTGGCCCCTCTGGAAGTCCGCCCTGAGTGAATGGAGCCTGGACACTAGGACAGGAGTAGGACTTACCGAACACCACGTGTTTCCCATCCAGCCAGTCACACTTAGAGCAGGTGATGAAGAACTGACAGCCGTTCGTACTGGGACCACTGTTTGCCTGATAGAAATTAAACATACCTACAGTGAGTTTCCCTGGCCACGTTAGCTGAAGGGCAAGATTCCGAGAGAGCCGACTGCCCTGACTGCTCCATGCGTTCTTTCACCAAACCTAACTGAGCGCCTAGTAGGAGCCAGGTCTTAGCTAGGGCCCATGGTTACGGAGATGAACAGGAACACAAGCCCTGCTTTCAAGGGGCTAAATCCTTTACTAAATGTAATCTCCCTACCTTACAAGCTTTAATAACAGGAACAACTGTTTACAGAGCATCATTTACTGTATTTAGTTCAAAACTGTTTATAGCTAGATAAAAGTTACAAATTAACTACCAGCAGAGAAAAGGCTGATGCAATCAGCTGATCTGTTTGAATAGCTCTGTACTACATTATAACACTAGAAATAAAAAAATATAGTACAAGAAGCTGCTACGCTAGAAAAAAAGACTACTTTTTTTAAAAAATGACTGTTTTGTAGTTATAAACATTTATAGCAATGCCCAAACCCTATTATTGAATTTATGGGAAAAATATTTTTTAAATTAAGAATCTGGGGCCAACCAGTTGGCATGGTCGTTAAGGCAGCTGGATCCCACATGCCAATTGTGTGGTTCAAGTCCTGGACAAGACAGCTTGAAAAACACTCCAGGTATGTGTGTGTGTGCCCCCAAAATGCCGGGAGGAGAGTGGAAGAGAAGGATTGCAGCGTGGTCATCCCCCTAGGATGTGTGTTCTTACTCTCTCTCTCCCTCTCTGACTTTGTCCAGCAAGTGCATATGCCCTACAGCAAAAAGACTAAAAAAAAAAACATTATGAAAGAACAGACTGTAATTAGAACGCACAGTGATAAACGCTTCGCAAAGTATACTTGGCTTTCATATGAAGGGTATTTCTGTACATTTCATTGCTATACTGATACCCTTAAATTGCCGATAATATATTAACTAAATTAAAACATTTACACATCAGCAAGCCCAATTTAAATTTCAGCAAAATTACCTTATGATAGTGTGTGACTACATGAATATTTTATTGCATATTTCCTTTATTTTGGAAAAAAATAAATGCATAGAAAATGAAAAACTGAAAGTTTTAATACTATTAAAGGAAACACAGGTCTCTGGGACCAACAGAATAATGCTTACATCGTAAATAGGGTAATGACGTAATGGTTACGTTGCTAAACTCTCATGTAGCCGACCACAGTTTTTTTTTTTTTTTTTTTTTGAGGTTTTTGCTATAGGGTGCGTGTGCTCACTAGATAGAGGGAAGACAGAGAGACAGAAAGTGAGAAATCACCCCCCAGGGGAAATGGCCACCCTGCAA